TCTGATTGGTCAGCAGCTGCAAACTCTGTTATGTCAGTGTGCCATAGCTGGACTGATAAACCAAGTTGATAACAACCTTTATGTGACCTGTTAGCCTCACTGATGATGTCTGACAAGCCAGATAAACAGAAGATATCCTGGATAAATATATGGATATGTTGAAGTGGACTGAGATGAAAGGAACTGGCCCCAACGAGGCGTTCATTATTGAATGAAACTGAACCGAGATCAGCAGCTGCCTGTTTAAATCTGAACCTGCACTGTGACTGCTTCCTGAACGATGAGCTGACAGAATGATGAGCTCAGACCAACTTAATCATCATATCTTTATTCATTTAATAAGCACTGAAAATATACAGTTTAAAATTCAAGCTGAAGCAGAAGGTCTGTCTGCACTGACGACAAGCGAGCGAGCGTAAAGTTCGGTCTGTGAGTGCAGAACGCTAATATGGCTGCAGCCTGGGTCACATGACTCAAACCGCTCCAACGTATTTACGATATGACCAAATATGTGCGATTAAAGCACAGCATCGTCATCATCAGGACGTTTTTCCTGCAGCTGTGTCGTGTGAGCGGCGTGGGGCGGTGTGGGTCAGTCACTCGGGTGCTGAGCTAAGTGCAGTCCACAGTAAAACACAGAGTACATTTATAGATATCTATATATATATATATATAACAGACTCTGCCCACCCCACACATTAGAAAGAGTAACAACAGAAACAACAGAAACACCAATGAAACACTTTTTTCCTCTGTTCATAAAGATATAGAAGAACAACAGCAACACGTTAGTTTTCTCTTTGTCAGGTCAAACATTCATGTGGTCTGTAAATGTAAACTAACACGAACTGTTACAGCTGGTGACGAAGAACAACCAGAGAGGTCACATGATCGTGTTTTACATGTTCAAACAGAAAGCTGTACACGCTCCTCTCTACGTGCTACGAAAGAACGGCGAACAGGAGGAGAACGTCACGGACAAAGAGCTCGCGGCAGCGTTAAAGCTCCAGAAACGGAGCCCTCGATGCTCCTACACACAGTCTGCTAGGTTTGTACGAAAGGTGACCTGTGCTCAGAAACCACCTGAGAGCAGCACACGTCCACGGAGAATGCTTTCAACCACGCCTCAGACAGACGTTTACGCCGATGACTCTGGGTCCTGCTTTGGACCTCCAAACCAGCCTTCAGCTGGAAGGAGTCCTGGAGGTGCTACTGCATTACAGTCACACTGATGCAGCATGTTAAATACACTTCACATTCTGATTCATGCTGTGGACCTGACTTCATGATGAAGATGTTTGGAAAACAGCAAACAAACTCGCTTCAGTTTGAGCTGTGGGTGGAGGTCACAGACTACCTTCATCAGTCCAGAGTAGCAGGTATACAACCACCTGTGGCTGAAGGCACCGCTGCAACCGTTCTCTGAAGGCTGATCAGTGTTCTGCATCGGCACCGGGGCCACGAAGGCAGACATGAAGCCTCATTTCTTGTCATACCAGAAGACACTTTTATCCAGTTTACTGATGACCTGAATCGTGCTGCTTAAAACCAGACAGCTTTGTTGACATAAAGCAGTTCGACACATTGCTCCCTGAGCCCGGATGTGCGAGAAGTTTCTTCTTGTTAAAAGGGAGGTTTTCCTTCCCACGGTTACCAAGTGCCTGCTCAGAGGCAGTCGTCTGATTGTTGCTGCTGTTGTTGTGATTTTGAAATGAATATTTGTGAGTAAACCGGTGTACCGTGTGTGCATCACAAACATTATTGTAAGTTTCATTGCATATTATGTATTTGGATGATATGGGGCAGGAATTACTCTGTTTTTCCATCACGTCTGGTTTTATCATGTGATCTGAGACAGTGAATCCAGATGCACAGGGCTCAATAATGAATGTAAGACTACATATTGTGTAGAACTGGAAATTTTTCATAAATATTAAGTATTAGTACTAAATATGTGATTTAAATGTACTGAAAAAAATCTAAACTGGATTGAGATCCACATATTTTCAGTTTCTTACACTGGTTTCAGGATCGACCTGTTATACAAATAAGAAAAGATATTCGTCTCCCTTCAGATGAGAGATTGGCCATTTCTGAAGATGTCATATCTTCCGCGAGAACGAGTGCTGTCCACAGACGGTTTCAGAGTACAGGTCTGAACTAGTATAACTAAGAGCAAAGCACCATAAAACACATTGAATCCAGCCAGAGAGCAAGGTTTAGTGACAGACTTCACTTCGTATTTAAGGCAATGTAAGTTAATTGAAATGTTTCTCTCATAACGAAAGCAAAAGTAAACCAACAGAAGCAATTAAGGTGCTGCTAAGAGTGGCTGCACCTAACGAAACCAGGCAAAACCAAACTGTCATGCTCGTTCTGAAAAACCTGTCTATGAAAAGCGCTTAATAAATAAACTTTACTTTACTTTACTTAAACAGACCTGTTTTAGTCTTAACGAAACGAGCAAACCCAACTTCATAGAGAGACACAAATATAAAAGCAAAGAGGATACTGAGGCGCGAACAGAACACGCAAGTTCTCAAAGGCCGCACAGTTTACAGAACAACCAGCATCCAGCTAAACGTAGAACCCATCTCATACAGATGAGTCTCAACGTCTCTGATTCATCCTCGCACTTCTGTTAGATAAACTTCAGGAGACCAAGGACCCTTTAATCAGATTTAGTGACAGCGAATAGAAATGAAAGTTCGATTTAAAGCATCACAGTAACACTGATCAGAGTACAAACACCAACCGATGAGCGTTTCATAGGGTTTGTTCTGTTTTTGTCAGTGGTACCCGAACGTCACACCAACATGCTCTGTGCAGTCCAGTGCTGTCTGAAACTGTGCAGGATGGTAGGAATGCTCATGTGTTCCTGTTTCACAGCTAGTTTCCTCTTTAAGAGACCAAGAAGAAAGAGAGAGAGAGCCCCTTTGTCCCTTGGATTGGGGTCGGGGCACTGCAACCCTGTCCCCATGCTCCGCCCCTGTGGGGCTGGTAACACCCCCATTGTTTAAAGACCCACAGTTCAACTCTCCCGAACCCGACCTGCCTCTATATCCAAAAACCTGACAGCAGTTGCAGTTCAGTGTCCAGAGGTGGCATTTCCTGAACATCTGGGGTCATCTGACCCCTGTCAGGCCCACTCTGATTGCACCTGTGAGGTGTTTGAAGAGGACTGCTTTTGTGAGGGGGCGCTATTTTATGGCTTCAGTAAAACTACGTTTTCCCTGTTTCCACCTCGGTCCGTATGTACAAGGACGGCTGTAGCTCAAAGTCTGAAAAATGAAGCCAGCGCTGAAGTACCTCAAACCTGCATTGCCTTTAAAGTCCAGCAGGGGTTGACTGTTTGGTCTATAAAAGTCTATGAGAAAATGAACATCTTGTTCAGTTGATCTCTGAGCTCAGTGAACTCTTTAGTGATGAGTTTATGGTCTCAGTCGCTACTCAGGTCTGACTAGATAAAGCACAATGTTCGTTTTGGGAATAGCGGCCCCAGTAGAGTCACGAAGAACCGGGACATCGGGGTTGGGCTGCTACTCTGAGTGACCAGTGTACCTGGTGTTCAGAGTCAGATCCAACCCTCGCTCATGACTTCGTCTCAGAATGAAGAAAGATAATGAAAAGTCAAGATTGATCTTCACATCATCCATCTTTTATATTAAATCTGTGACCAGTGGCACAGGGTTAGATTTACTGAGCTGCAGAACTCAGGGGCACACACAAACGTTTACAGGGATCATTTTCAGTGTTTATGAAACAGAACCTTTACCTTTTAACTTTTGTCCTTGTGTTGTGAGGTATCATATGCCTAACCCTTAGAGATCGAAGTCGTTGTTGCCGATTACCCTCATTAACCCTACATTAGCAAAACATGTCATTAAAAAAATGTTCCTCTAAGTCTTGGCTGAAGACAAGAAAATAATTCAACTTTTTTTCAAGTTTTTTTCTTTTTTCTAAAACACAGGGTAAGTGTAGGAGTCGGGGTAGGAGTCGAGGGCAGGTTAGCAGTCGAGGTCAGGGTAGGAGTCGGGGGCAGGGTAGCAGTCGGGGGGAAGGGTAGGAGTCAGGGTAGGAGTCGAGGGCAGGTTAGCAGTCGGGGCAGGGTAGGAGTCGGGGGCAGGGTAGGAGTCAGGGGAAGGGTAGCAGTCGAGGTCAGGGTAGGAGTCAGGGGCAGGGTAGCAGTCGGGGGAAGGGTAGGAGTCGGGGCAGGCTAGGAGTCGAGGTCAGGGTAGGAGTTGGGGGCAGGGCAGGAGTCTGGGGCAGGGTAGGAGTCAAGGGCAGGGTAGCAGTTGGGGTCAGGGTAGCAGTCGGGGGCAGGGTAGCAGTCGGGGCAGGGTAGGAGTCGGGGGCAGGTTAGCAGTCGGGGCAGGGTAGGAGTCAGGGTAGGATTTGGGGGCAGGGTAGCAGTTGGGGTCAGGGTAGGAGTCGGGGGCACGGTAAAAGTCAGGGGAAGGGTAGCAGTCGAGGTCAGGGTAGGAGTCGGGGGCAGGTTAGCAGTCGGGGCAGGGTAGGAGTCAGGGTAGGAGTCGAGGGCAGGTTAGCAGTCGGGGCAGGGTAGGAGTCAGGGGAAGGGTAGCAGTCGAGGTCAGGGTAGGAGTTGGGGGCAGGGTAGCAGTCGGGGGAAGGGTAGGAGTCGGGGCAGGCTAGGAGTCGAGGTCAGGGTAGGAGTCGAGGGCAGGGTAGCAGTCGGGGGCAGGGTAGGAGTCGGGGGGCAGGGTAGGAGTCAGGGTAGGAGTCAAGGGCAGATTAGCAGTCGGGGCAGGGTAGGAGTCAGGGGAAGGGTAGCAGTCGAGGTCAGGGTAGGAGTTGGGGGCAGGGTAGCAGTCGGGGGAAGGGTAGGAGTCGGGGCAGGCTAGGAGTCGAGGTCAGGGTAGGAGTCGGGGGAAGGGCAGGAGTCTGGGGCAGGGTAGGAGTCGAGGGCAGGGTAGCAGTCGGGGGCAGGGCAGGAGTCGGGGGGCAGGGTAGCAGTCGAGATAAGGGTAGGAGTCGGGGGGAGGGCAGGAGTAGGGGGCAGGGTAGGAGTCTGGGGCAGGGTAGGAGTCAGGGTAGGATTTGGGGGCAGGGTAGCAGTCGGGGTGAGGGTAGGAGTAGGGGCAGGGTAGGAGATGGTGTCAGGGCCAGAGTCGGGGGCAGGAGTTGGTGCCAGGGCAGGAGTCGGGGGAAGGGTAGGAGTTGGGGTTAGGATTGAGATTATTTAGACCTCACACTGTTGAAGTGTTGAAACAGCATTCACAGATGCTCAGGTAAGGCTGTTTATGTCCCACTTCAAGTGTGAGCTGCAGTTTTTAGTCTTTAACCTCAGATCAAACAGGTATGTATTTCACTTTGTATCTGCCAGTAAAAGTCCATCTGAAAGGCAGCGTTGTCTGAACGCTGAATCTCCATCGGGAGCCAAACAAAGTCATTTTGTCAAAGCTGCTGGTGAGTCTGTTACACACATGTTGTCCTTTGGTTTCCAACTCCTGATTTTCATCACAAAGGCTCACGAGTCTGGTGGACACATTTTAATCTAAACCACAGTCAACAATCCTAAACCAAAATGATTTTTAGCGCCTAAACACTGAACAAAATGAACAAATGGCATCTCCGAACACAAAAGGTCATTAAACCTCGACGCGTTTCTCCACCACAGATCCCAAACAACACCTTATCTAACTGTGAGATGCATCTGGCAACACGGTGCAGTGTAAACCCCCAACCCCCCCGCACACAAGCACCATGTAGAAAGTCAAAGGAAACGTGTCCTTCCATGGGTGTCTTAGGTTTGTTGAGTCTCAGCTGAGAAATGTCACTCAAATAAGAAATGACATTCACCTGACCCCCATATTTAACAGAATCTCGTCTTGCTCTTTTACTTCTACAAGCTGCAGATTTCACATCAGTCCAGTCACACTTCTGGCCCAGTAAAATGCTGGCAGCAGCATATTACATTATGTGGCCTCCATTTACCAAAACCATCACAGCAAAAATGTCCTAGTTCTCCAGACTGAAAGCATTTCAAACTTTAGGAATGATCTGCTCCTTCTCTGCATGTCTTCGTGGTCCAGAGTTTCCGATGTTCTATTTATTTATTGTAAAAGCATCAGAGTTTCTGATTTGGCATCGGCAGCTCCTGTTTAACTCCTCCTGATTTTCATACATTCACTTCACCTCCTGCCTTCTCGTCACAGAGTCATCTCTCCAGGGACGCCACAGATCCAGTTTCTTTTCACAAGGCTGTTGTTTTGGAGCTCGAATGAATATTCATCAGCTCTCTTGAAGCTGGATGAGAGTTTTTCCAGAGGCATTTTAGTATTTTATGTGTCCGTCTTATCGCATAAAGTTTCAAAACACGAGTCTGGGCATCGGACATCTCTGCTACTCTTCACTCTAAACTTGTCCCCACATCCCCTCTTTCCATCCCTAAATCCTTTTCCTTTCAAACTCATCCTCCTTGTCGCCCTCCCCCCCGCCCCAGGCCAGTCTCCTCATTGGAGGGCGGGAGGGCTCGTGCCGCTAGAGAGCTGTAATCTGAGTCAATTCTGTGTTGGAGTTCGCAGTTCCATGGGTCTCTCCCCTCTGTGGGGGGTCCACCCCCACCAAGGGGAGCTCCACGCCTAGTCATGCTGGATTCGGCGTCCCTCCCCCTAGCCCCCCGCCGTCTCCGGCTTTGCAGCTGTAGGCAGCCGCCACCTCCCTGGCGATGCTCCTCATTCTGCCAGACTGCTGGGGGTCGAGGCGGAATGGAGACGGGTGGCAGAACTCTCGGAAGCAGCGCTTGAAGTTTTCATCGAGGAAGGCATATAGCACGGGATTCAAGCTGCTGTTGACGTAGCCTAGTGCGATGCAGAAGTGCATGAGGACCACTGTGAATAGGCTACTCAGGTTGAAGCCCAGAAACTGAGCCAGGACCATGATTTGGATCGGGGTCCAACACACCACAAATGCCGCCACCACGACCAGAACCATCCTGGTGATGCGCCGCAGGTTTCGGTCCTTTTCCTTGGAGCCAGACAGGATGCGGACGCTGCGCAGGCGTTTGACCATCAGGCTGTAGCAGATGCTGATGATGGCCACAGGAATGAGGAAGGAGAAGACGAAGACACAGGTACCAAAGACGGGATCCCAGTGGCTCTTTGGCTCGGGCAGAGCCACTATGCACTCCAAACCTATAAGTTCAAAAGAGAAATAAAGAAGAAGTATTAAATACGGGAGAAAAAGGGGGAGGGCAGGGGGAGATGTAGGTTGGTCGGTGTATGTGTTGTTGGCATGAATGTCAAGGACAGCGGCTGATGTTCTATTAAAGGTGGAATATGTTAGTGTGACGAGTTACACTTTCAAACAGAGAAGTACGCGGCAGGGTTTGTTTTGAATAACGTGATTTTATGAGTTCACAGTGAGAGATCTGCTCTTGCTCTTGACGAAGGCGGTCGCACTTTTCTCCTCCTCCTCCTCTCCCTTAGCTTCCCTGCTTAGCCTCTTATGTCCTTGTCTAGTCTCGTGTTTTTTGTATTACTTTCCCTGGAACACTCTCTCACAGTCTGTACTCTAAAACCTAAAAGAGAATTATGGAATGGATCAACTGGTCCCTAAATGCAATTGACACCCCTTTCTCAATGAGAAGTCTGGGCTTGAGTGAGCCTGAGTGCTGAAGATATCTACCTATTCGGAACCATGATAACAGGGTTCTGGCTGATCGGAGCTGGCTTGGCCCTGACTTATCGAAGAATTAAGGAAGCGGAACCGGCTGTTCAAACCCCCACAAGGCTGCCCGCTGGGATTGAAATGATGGGACGAGGCGTGAGTTTCTCAAAATGGGCTCATTGAGTGCAGCACGGAGAAGATCTTGGAGAACGCACGGCTGCCGTGAATACTCAGAACAAGACCTCTGAGTGAAAAACTGGATTACATCTGGGGCTAGCTCGAACAACAACTGTGAGCGCAAATTCGATCACATCTTGGGGGAGTGTACTGTGGTCGTGAGTTCTCAGAACCTGCTCTTAGAGCAAAAAGGACGACAACATCACGGAACGTAAGTTTGGATAACATCATAGAAAGCTCACGGCTCTCCAACGGCAGATTGAGCGACCAGTGTTGGACTGTAGAACTGCTTTGAAATTCATATGAGTTGTTCGCACTAAAGTACAGGGAGTGCAGAATTATTAGGCAAGTTGTATTTTTGAGGAATAATTTTATTATTGAATAACAACCATGTTCTCAATGAACCCAAAAAACTCATTAATATCAAAGCTGAATGTCTTTGGAAGTAGTTTTTAGTTTGTTTTTAGTTTTAGCTATTTTAGGGGGATATCTGTGTGTGAAGGTGACTATTACTGTGCATAATTATTAGGCAACTTAGGCAACAACAAAAAACAAATATATACCCATTTCAATTATTTATTTTTACCAGTGAAACCAATATAACATCTCCACATTCACAAATATACATTTCTGACATTCAAAAACAAAACAAATCAGCGACCAATATAGCCACCTTTCTTTGCAAGGACACTCAAAAGCCTGCCATCCATGGATTCTGTCAGTGTTTTGATCTGTTCACCATCAACATTGGGTGCAGCAGCAACCACAGCCTCCCAGACACTGTTCAGAGAGGTGTACTGTTTTCCCTCCTTGTAAATCTCACATTTGATGATGGACCACAGGTTCTCAATGGGGTTCAGATCAGGTGAACAAGGAGGCCATGTCATTAGTTTTTCTTCTTTTATACCCTTTCTTGCCAGCCACGCTGTGGAGTACTTGGACGCGTGTGATGGAGCATTGTCCTGCATGAAAATCATGTTTTTCTTGAAGGATGCAGACTTCTTCCTGTACCACTGCTTGAAGAAGGTGTCTTCCAGAAACTGGCAGTAGGACTGGGAGTTGAGCTTGACTCCATCCTCAACCCGAAAAGGCCCCACAAGCTCATCTTTGATGATACCAGCCCAAACCAGTACTCCACCTCCTCCTTGCTGGCGTCTGAGTCGGACTGGAGCTCTCTGCCATTTACCAATCCAGCCACGGGCCCATCCATCTGGCCCATCAAGACTCACTCTCATTTCATCAGTCCATAAAACCTTAGAAAAACCAGTCTTGAGATATTTCTTGGCCCAGTCTCGACGTTTCAGCTTGTGTGTCTTGTTCAGTGGTGGTCGTCTTTCAGCCTTTCTTACCTTGGCCATGTCTCTGAGTATTGCACACCTTGTGCTTTTGGGCACTCCAGTGATGTTGCAGCTCTGAAATATGGCCAAACTGGTGGCAAGTGGCATCTTGGCAGCTGCACGCTTGACTTTTCTCAGTTCATGGGCAGTTATTTTGCGCCTTGGTTTTTCCACACGCTTCTTGCGACCCTGTTGACTATTTTGAATGAGACTGCTGCATCCCTCTGCAAGATATCTCACTATTTTTGACTTTTCTGAGCCTGTCAAGTCCTTCTTTTGACCCATTTTGCCAAAGGAAGGGACGTTGCCTAATAATTATGCACACCTGATATAGGGTGTTGATGTCATTAGACCACACCCCTTCTCATTACAGCGATGCACATCACCTAATATGCTTAATTGGTAGTAGGCTTTCGAGCCTATACAGCTTGGAGTAAGACAACATGCATGAAGAGGATGATGTGGACAAAATACTCATTTGCCTAATAATTCTGCACTCCCTGTAAAAACCACCATCACTTCATGCGGATACCCTCTCGGCGCCAGCTGTGGTCTCAAGGCTGGAGCCGAACAACAACACCCTGATAACGACTGTGTTTAGTCTGTCCCTTCCCATTCATGCAAGGCCACCTGGGTTGGCTGGAAGACTGTTTACTTAGCCTAGCAGGGTGAAGGAGACTGTCTCAGCTGAGCTCTGGACACACACACACATACATACATATTCTGATATACACACACTCATCCCCCCTCCCTTTCCAAACGCCTTTGACGTTTATTCCCCTCCGATGCTGACGGTGGATCAAGGAGACCAGCGCACGCACGCCTGGATGTGCTGTCTAAATCGGCTGTCTCTCACCTTTACCCCCCTGCTGCTTGTCATGTGTTTCTTTGGTGTATTTAGAGTTTTTTCATGTGCAGAGGTGTTTTTTCTGTTCTCAAACTGATCTCCCTGTTGGAGCTCAGTCTGGGGGGAGTTATTTTTTTCTCCTTATCTTTCCTCATGTGGTGCATCTTCCATTGTTATACCTCTCTGACCTGTCTTCCCCATGTGATGTTTGTGTAATGTATGTATGGTCAGAAGGGTAAGTCGGCGCTGGCAAACGTCGGCAGCCTTAACCCAATTTCCTTCGGGGTCAACCTTCAGGATCAATAAAGTTTTATTGAATTGAATTGACGTCGAGTGTACGGCAGCGCTTTGTCCTCATGAGTTCCTGGTGGAGAATCGTGTGTGTTAGACTGCTTTTGATTGGATGTATGCTCCAGTTTTAGTTCAAGGATCCACAGTCCTGCACTCAGAGAGGAGTAAACCTCCAGCTACTCATTTGCAATGCAGCCGGCAGGATGGAAGAGAACCTACAGGGAACAACGTCCCTGATATCTGCATATTAATGTGCTTATTAAAAATGCTAATTAGTATGCTAATAACAGAAACAGGCACATAAAAGCGAAAAGAAAAATGGGAGGTGCAAAGGATAAAAGGTATGAATGTATGAATGAGCAGTGACAGGAGAGTCAGCTGGTTTAATCAGTTTAATCATAATACAGTCTGCAGCTGGAGAAGGCAGACAGGAAGATAAATGTGTCTGAGCCCATGGAGAGATAAGAAAGTAATGACTGCAGAGTTATGCCACAACCCAACGGAGGAGACAGCAGAAGGAAAAAGAACAAAAGTTCACCGCAAACACCTGGAAATCCAAAACCAACACACTTCCAAATCAAACACAGGCATGTCAGTGGGACATCACAGCGAGAAACAGCCACGGTTCACAACTGCACCTTAAAACAGCTCCGACCTTCTTCAGCAGGTCAGATACCTGATTGCAGCACACCCTCATCAGTTCACCTTCATCACCTGCATTCACTAAATAACTGAAAACTGCACCTTAAAGACTCAACTTAGACCTGAGCTCACATACTAGTCTTTTAAGTCCAGCACTGAGAACGATGACCACAGCTCATCCTTCATTTGGAGGAAGAGCCCAAACTCACAAAGATCGGAAAAAATTCCTTCCAGAAACGCAACGTTTCATACCGGAATCGAGTCATGTGACCCCAGTTACCAATCAACCTCGATTAACTGACCTGTCCATTAAATAAAGGTCCACCTTCATCCTCCACCCTCCTCCACACATGTGCAAACCATCTCAGCCTCTCTGAGCTGTTCCTCTGATGGACTCGTCCTACTCGCACCCTGTGAAGGTCTTTACTGAGATTAAGATGCTCAGACCAACGGTCATGTTCATCTAGAACTTTGACAGGGTTTAGTGTTAAAGTGCTGGGAGGAGTCAGGGGCAGCGCCTGACTCTGTTCCTGCTCAGACGAGCTCCGAGCCTGCCATCGATTCGCCAAAGACGCCACAAACGGGCCTAAAAATGATTGATTACCTGTTGGCAGGTAAGTTTGCTGACATTAGCTGGATTTGATGTTTTATTAATATGCTTGAAGAATGCAGATTACAGGCAGATCTTTTTATTCCTGAGGCCTGAGTGCAGGAGCACGAGCCACGGCCGAGCTCTGCACCAATCAGACGGGTCCTGATCCAACAAGTGTGTTTGTAATGAATTAAGAGCATTTTACAGTCCGCGGAGACTTCACACTAATTACAGCCTACTTTTAACTACAGGGTCAGCACTTTGTTTCTAATTTCTAACCATTTTCACACTGCACAGTTAGCACAAACACTTCCTGTCACCATTAATTCAGCCTTCCCTGAGAAAATGTCCTATGAAAAAGTCACAGCAAACTCTGCAAAGCCATGACAGCGATTCACCCAGCGAGAGCAATAACCACACACACTTCCAAATATGTCCCACTGCAGCCTCTGCTTAACCGTCTACATGATGTTAAAGCTGTTAACACAGAGTTTTCTCACCCTAAACAAAAACCAGACTGAACTGATTGTTTTTGGAGGCCACGCCCCTTTGGATGAGCTAACTCAGAACCTCGGTCCTCTCGCTTGTCATCATTCTCAGACTGTTAGAAACCTCAGAGTGTCTTTAGTCGGATCTTTA